TTGGACTCTAATACGTTAATAACCGGTATTTGGAGAAAATAGCCGCGTTTATTTTGCACTTGAATTTCTTTTTATCCGAGTTTGTTATTCATTGTCCTTACCTCTGTAGCATTTAAGACATTTTAAAATATCTACGTAGGCTATGGCAATAACAAATACTAACAAAACTAACATGGCCGTTGGTCTTGAAAATGACCTCCAATCGGTCGTTGACTGGGTCAGGAAATGGCTGGTTAAATTTAATGCCTCAAAAACAAAACTGCTCTCTATTACTCACCACAGAGAACCCTCTCTGTCTCCCATTAGAATGTCTGATGATCAACTCCATGAGCACCTCTTTGCGACTGTTTGGTCTCACGTTGTTCGATGACCTCAGATGGAACAATTACATTGAATCAATAGCTTCATCTACCGCAAGGAAAGTTGGTTCTCTGTGTCGCGCAAGAAGGTTTTTCTCGCCCGAGTCCATCTTTCAAATCTATAAATCAACCATTCGCCCTTGCATGGAATTCTGCTGCCATATATGGTCTGGAGCCCCCGCTTTTCGTCTTAAGGTCCTTGACAAAATCCAGAGACGAATATGCAATGTAGTTGGCTCTGATCTGGCATCTCGTTTGCAGTCGCTCTCTTACAGACGTGTCGTCGCCTCCTTCTGTCTTTTCTCATCACTACGATACCATATTTGAGTGTGTAGAATATGAACTCGGCTGATGCCAAAATAGACGTGGTACATAGTGTCTATCAGAGAAGTCAAGTGCTTCAGCGAGTTAACCGAGGGGTAACCATCTAGCTGCAAGGTGCAGATCCGCGCCTACACTAGATGATAGTGGCTGACCCCGACATGTAAACAAGTAGTCGAACAAGCTGCATTTAAGATATGCACGTGAGACAAACCGGATGATATATAGATATATAGGTATCTCACCGAAAGAGAAGAGAAAGAGCCCCTCTTACGTCCTCGCGAGAATGTAGAATCCACGTTCGGAGAAGACCCCCGAATCTACATACCCATTTCAGTTGAACAACCATTACGCATGAGAAATTTAACCTTGTTTAGCTGTTAGTGTGTACTTCGTTACAAGTAGATTGTTGAGGATGTGAGCAAACAACTTTGCTGACACAATAGCAGCAAACAGTTCTTAATCCCATTGTCACCCTTGGCAGAAGCCGATAAAACAATTGTTACTAAGTAAGCGCATTGAGAAGGTAATAATTTTTTCATTAAATAAAAAAATCGTTTTTAGATGTCTATATGAAAGTGGCCAATCCAATCAGATTTATTGAGGTGTATAAAAAATATTTTGCTTTTTTAACCTTTCCAGGTAAGTTGTGTTTTTTTAAGCTTATGTAATGCCATATATATATATAGTATAGTATATTACAATGATCCATGCACTTCTGAACATTTCCAAACGCTGGTGGTCGATTTCTCATCTCCCTTGCGTTTTAAAGCAACATCACCGTAAACTGACGTAAGTTCTATGGTAATTTTCTCGCACTTCTCACTTGTGGAAATCCATTCCTTCCGGCTCCATGCATTCCCAAAAACTTTAATCTTTAGAAGTTTAAATACAATGTCAATCACTATCTACTGTCCTCCTGATTACTCTTCTTTTGTTATCGCGCCATAGCAATGTTTCTGCTTTTTACTACTTCCCCACCCAGTAGCCCCGTGTCTTAGTGGCTTGAATGCCTTGCTTGGAGTGATCGCGATGATATATATATATATATATATATATATATATATATATATATATATATATATATATATATATGAAAACGCAGAAAAACATTCTTCTTTAAGGATTCTTTTCAGTCAATACCAACATTTCCTCAGAAGAATAAGATGGTAAATATTAAATTGGCAGAATAACTATTCTTTTTTTTTTTATTAATCAATTTGTATTTTAGTCATGGTTCCATTTTCTCCTCTTTACATTTTTCTTTTCTCTCAGTGCGAATTTTTATTCTGCCAATTTAATATTTACCAATGTATTCTTCTAACGAAGTGTTGGTTGAAAAAGATCTTTAAAGAAGAAGGCTTTCTTGCGTTTTCAAATCCATATATATATATGGTCTGTGGTATCAAACTTCTGTTTAAAATCGGCATGAGATGTCTAAATTATTCAACCAAACCTGTTTGAATGAAAATATGCTGCCTAAATTCACACACACACACACACGCATATATATATATATATATATATATATATACTTTACATTTCAAAAGTATGATGCGACCTCTAAAAATTAGCATGGGATGAACTTGACAAAACAGGCAAGAAAATTTAAAAGATCTCTTAGAGTGATTAGAAAAAGAATGGAATCAATTATCCAACTTATACTTTGAAAAACTTTTGCAACGAATGCCAAATATTTGTGCTGCAGTAATCAAGGATATTTTAACGAGAACAAAATTTCATCATAAAATGCTTTTTATCTTTTTGTCATAATATAATTTCTAATAGAAAATCATGTCTGACTTTTGTTTAAACAAATATAATAATTTTTTTTTTAAAGTACAAAACAATATATATATATATATATATATATATATATATATATATATATATATATATATATATATATATATATGGATTAAATTCGACATATTTTTAATTTATTTGTTTAAACATTATTTTAAATGGATACTCATATTTGAGTAGATGCTCTTTTTATTTATTTATTTATTTATTTATTTATTTATTTACATCTACCGGACTGAATATTCGAGAAATCTTGTTAGAAAAATAACAATTCACGGAGGGCGCATATTTTACAAACATGTGTATCTATTTAAAAATAACTTTTAAACAAATAAGTTTTATATATATATATATATATATATATATATATATATATATATATATATATATATATATATATATATACATAGGAGCGTCCTTTTAATATTTTGGAATTTCATGTAACAAACATTTCGCTTTTGTTTATAATCACTTGCCTTCATAAAGTCAAATGAAGCGCGTTGCAAGCACTAAGTGCTATTTTCCGATTGTTTATTTTATAGATGTACATACATATATATATATATATATATATATATATATATATATGAATGCGTTAACTGTAAAATTACAGTACAATGGGACATCTTGTAATAAAATGTCTTCAGTTTACAAACATTTGCTAAATAAATATCATTGTAAAAATGTAATTTTAATTGTTTCTCTATCATTGACAGGACTGACACACCATACAAATTGGCTTTTAAAGAAGGGTTCTGGATTGCTAAAAGGAATCTTTTTTTTTTTTAAATAAATATGTTAAATATGATATAAAAGTCTTGATGTAAAAACGAGTTTGAAGAATTATTATAACTGTATCTTGAGCTAGCCTCTCATTTTTTTTTTCGTTTCTCTGAGAATTTTGGATTACTTAATTATCTTCTTTTATAAAGAATTTTGAATTATTATCCGTTTCATGTCTTTGTTGTACTGTGGCATTTGAGCTTAGAAATTAAATCAATGTAAAACTGGCTGATGAAGGGAATAGATGTCTTGAAACATCAAGGTTCAATAAAAATATATGCCATACAGTTTTTTATGCACAAATCGTATGTGTCAATAATATGATTCAGTAAATTTTATCTTTTAACAGATGTGCTTTTATTTCTATAATAAAGAATATTAATGAACTTCCTGCTTGAAAAATATTAAGTCTGTTTTATATAGGGTGCCCAGTAAAAAAAGCGGAAATTTATTATCACTGTTTTATTTTTCAGAAATAATTGACCTTGAATAATCTTGACTAAATTTTATGACTGTTCATGACCTTGAATAATCATTCGACTCGCGCGTAATTACTTAACTGTGATTTGTTCTTTTATGATTGATTAATTGCCACTCGATCTCGTGACACGTCATTTAATGGTTATTTGCAGTTTGTAGACAACTTTCGTCTTTCGTCCTGCCCTTCTCGTATGACTAAACAATTCACTGATTTTGAGCGTCAAGTTATCGTACTTTTCAAAAAAGAACATCCAACGTGGGGATTGACGAAATGTGCAGAAATTCTTCCTGAAATTTTCAGTTAGATCAGTCGTCACCAGTTTTAACGGTCTGTCATATGTCTTTCTGAAATTACCGCTTTTTTTACTGGGCACCCTGTAGTTACTAAACTACAGAACTACAGGGCAGACCATGAGTATTGGACTTAGTACACTAGGGAAAGGTTTTTTTAGTTGGTTAACCACATTTGTACACATGATAGCTATCATTCCATTTAACATTTTCCATCTGTCTATCGACTTTGGACTGTTCTCCGTGGCTGTTGTAAAATCTTTTTCTGGTTCTAGGTTGATTACAATGTTTAGGGAAAAAGACTTAAGACCAGAGTTTAAAGTTACAAAAATGTTTCAAGCAGATGGTGAGCTGTTTTTGCCATAAATCAATCGAAGGTGACCAGGACTCTGTCAACGCTGACTATGAGCAGGTAACAGTTGTCGCTGTTATTGCCTAGTCAATTAATGTAGTTAGGGAAAGAGTAGTTTTGCCATTCTACAGAGTTACCAAAATCAAACAAGTACAACAATTTAAATATCTGGGAAGTGTTTTAACAGAGGACGGAAACACCGAATTTAAATCAGTCTGAAGAGAGATGGGCTTCGTCAGACAAGTTTGCCTTAGGAATACTACTTCAGCTATGGCTACAGTACGTAGGATATTCTAACGATCTTAATGAATTACGGGACTCGTGATCACATGACGTCACTCAGAATCCTACAAGAAGGGAATGAATTTAAGGCGAAACGAATGCACTATTTACTGACGATGTTTCATCTTATGTTTAATTCTACTGAATATAAGTTTTAATTTAGAGATTTATCATAGATCATAAGATGAAATGAAAACAGAAAAAGCGTTTTTTAAAGGCAAAAGGTCGAGTCCGTTGATAAGCGTATTTGTGCGTGGGTGTGAGTGTGAACTCGTATTTGGAATCGTAAAAAGAGAAATGAACCTAAATGCTACAAGTAAATATAATCAGGAAGATAAAATATTGTAGTGTACTGACAAATGGATCCTACCAGAGGGAAGTGATGAATTATTGGGGAGAGAGAGAGAGAGAGAGAGAGAGAGAGAGAGAGAGAGAGAGAGATTGTGGGAAGTCTCTTGGCTCGGCCCATTACCCCTAAAATTCTAAGCAAAAATCAGATTTTGTGTGGGAAGGGTTTCTTGATTTGGCAGAGATTTCAGCACCTATTCCAAAGTTATGAAAGAGAGAAACAACAGAAGGATTAATATATATTATACATTACAAGTGACAAATTTTATTTGTATTAATCATATATATATATATATATATATATATATATATATATATATATATATATATCAATCATATATATATATATATTGTATTAATCATATATATAAATTGTATATATATATATATATATATATATATATATACATATTGTATATATCATATATATATATTTATTAATCATATATATATATATATATATATATATGTGTGTGTGTGTGTGTGTGTGTGTGTGTGTGTGTGTGAAACAGAAACAGCATTTACCGAAAATCTGCTCTGAATCGTAAGGTAAAAAAAAGCAATAAACCTATGACATTATTTAAGTAGAAAAGCTTTCAATTGCTTTTATAAATAAATATTAAGGACAATATTGAATCTTTACAAAAATTGTTTTCATTTTTTTAAATTATTAAGAAAAATTTATTAAGTTTAAATCTTTTAAAAGTCTGTATCTATTTTAGCCTTTTAGATGCTGATATTATTAAGTGAAAACTATATTTACTAATCATAAATAGAAAAAACTTAATACAAATCAACAAACGCCAACATTTTAAAAGGAATTTTGAATTTTTTTTATATTCGTATAAACGTACCGATTTTTGTAAGAACGGGCGACCATACACGGTATTATCAGCAAAGAGCGATAACTATTGTGCATTTTAAGCCAAATTTTGTAAAATTCAATAAAACATTAGATTACGGAGAATATTTTCCGAAATTTTAACTCATATTAATGTTTCTGTTCCTAATTTTCCACACCTATTAACCCCTTGTGTCTTAGTGGCTTTTCTGCCTTGCAGGGGGTGAAACCAATTAAATATAGATAATGGCAAATATTGCTTTTTCAATAAATTAAAAACGAAAAAATAAAGAATGCTTTTTAATTTTAGACTTCATGAAAGTATTAACAGGACAAAGATGTGCTCATCTGCAGGGTGTATAACATCAAACGAGGTAACATTCAGAATAAGAGAAAATACTTCAATGATGGAAAAATAAATTAGAAGACACTTTCACGACGAGAGATGGAAATCTGCAACCTACAAAAAATATTAAAACACCTGATATACTAAAATCCAGACTAAGATAGGTACTAGGTAAATAAGAACGAAGAAGAAGAACCAAATTGGATTGCAATCAGCTATCTGCCTTAGGCGATTTCGGCATCGACAAGATTACAGAAACCATATATTATATAACAGTCCATGGCGACTTAGCAGAAAACCTTAGTAGATCCATCTTCGTAGTGCTGCCTAAGAAGCCAGATACAAATGACTGCGAGCTCCATTGGTTTAAAGATCCATAAAACAGAGTTTATTATCAGAATCCAGATGAATAGAGCGCGTAGAAGAATTAGACCAGAAATAGGAAAAGGATAGTTTGATTTCATTAAAGGCACTGGAACAAGAAATACAATATTTATAATAATAATTATCGCAGAAAGAACAATACAAAGGCAGAAGGACGTATATTTGTGTTGCATAGACTAAGCAAAAGCATTTGATAAGGCACAGCACGAAGATCTAGTTGAACTACCCGGAAAGAAATCAGAATAATCCAAAACTTCTATGACCTCTTAATTACTACTCTGACTTTAGGGGGTAACAACTGTTAGGGTCAGCTATGCTATGGACAAATAGTGACCTTCCTAACCTGGGATCAAAACACGATGAAAGTATGAAAATACATTTTTATAGTAAAAATACCAGCAATAGACTTTAATAGAAAAAATACCGAGTCTCCCATTAAATTTTGGCATTAAATGATCCATAAGGAGTTGATATGCCGTTAAACAACCTTTTATAATGCCTGTTTGAGGAGAGACTTTGTAAATCACAGATACATCAATAGTAACGCCTTAGAACAATACTCAGTCAAACGCCACTAATTCATACATATATATATATATATATATATATATATATATACACTCTCTCTCTCTCTCTCTCTCTCGACGTATGAGGGTCAAGCAGATCAGTTCCGAGGACCATCAACACTTGGGCCGAATACAAAGACCTGGTGTACTACGTGCCACAAGGTCCCCAAACGACCCTCCGTAGGTTTTGAATTTAGAGTTTTCCTTCTCCTAGACCAGTTGTCATCCAAGGCTATAGAACCCTGTCCGTCCTGCTATTTACCCATGCTAGAGGGAGAAGAAGAGGATTCACACCTTTCCCAAGGGTATTAGCACGTAATTGAATGTAATGGATTCGACTGGAATTCGAACTCGGCTCTCCGATTCCTCAATCCAAGCCGCTATCCATTACCACACCGTGTATATATTCCTTTACTTGCCACGTGTTCTAATTATTTCAAGATGAGGTTGACTGTGCTTGGTCTCTGGCGATACGTGTTCAAACCCAAGTGTCGGCAGCGACACTTTATTCCTATATGACACAACCAAAACTTATATTGGGAGCACATCATCTTCTGGACAGAAAATGAATTGATTAAGTACGCAAAAACAGACGTAAGATATGTGTCTTCTCATCGAATTTATTCAACCGTTACGACGAGGCAATCCAAAATGAATTGCAAATCCTACAAGGCATGTACAATCTTAATAATATAAGATGCGCAGATGATACCGTGTTGATAGGAGACACAGAAAGAAAAGGAGAAGAAAAGACTAAGCATCTAATTTAATGTATGGTCGTTGTCAAGTGAAACCGGGCTATGAATTCGAGATGTCAAAATCAAGCAAGTACATGAATTTAAATATCTGCGAAAGACGACGGAGAATGTGAAACCGAAATCCGAAGTCGCATTGGGATAGCGAAAGATGCCTTCCAAAAGCTAAACAAAGTATTATGAATCAGGAAAACTGAATTACCTGACAGAAGAAGAGGAGACTTGAACCAACAGAGATGTAATTCGACTGGAGGATGCTGAGAATTCAATGTACGGAACATGTAAGCAACGAGAAAATTTGAAGGAAAATGGAAACAAAAAGGACACTTAGAATTAGAAAAAGAGTTGAAATGTATAGGGTACATGAGGAAAGAAGGTTTGAAAAATTTGACATTCACAAAACATCAAAAACAAGAGGGACAGGAAATATGAAGTAACCTTCCGAATGAAATTGTGTAAATGGGTGACAGAACGGAGTGTGGTAGGGATAGTAAAAAAACAAACATTGCTAAGAGCGACATAGGATAAGAAGTTGGGAGTAGCCATGATCATCCACGTCCTGAAGGGACACGGCATGTAGAATAGGTGTAACTCCAACGGCGTGTGAAGCTATCATTTTATTGACTTATGCCTAAATATGTGCGTTTATGTACATACAGTGTAAGCCGGATATAAGAGAGTTGTCGGGACCGGAGAAGAAGTCTCTTATATCCGGGTTTGGTCTATTTTATATACATTAACACAGGCTCTAATTTGGGACCAGAGAAAATCTCTCTTATATCCGGGTCTCTTATATCCAGGTTACACTGTATCTTGTTGCAACTTTTACTGAGCATTTAAACATGTCAGACAGTTTCTTCCATTATTTCTTGTTTTAGTTGATTTTTAACCTCATATTTATTTATTTCCTCTCCCCTTCGATGTTGCCATATCATTTTAAAGTTAATTTTGAGAATAATTAAAAGGCAATGTTTACGAAATTTTATTTCATTGCATGGATTTATCAGGAATTGGGCTCAATGTTTACTTTTGCTCTTCAAGGATTTTAGAGCATTTTAAATGGGCAGGTAAGAAGGAATCAAGGTAAGATGATTGAGAAAATGAAGAGAGTGGTGAAATGAGTCGACATACGAACGCGCGCACACAAACGTACAGAGACAAACAGACAGACAAATAAGTAGACAGACTAACTGAACAAAACTAACAACATCAATTTCCTTCTTCCAACCGGTTGCAGCTGCAAGAGTTATTGCTATAAAACATGAAAAAAGAAAACGAGAAAAGAGCAAGAACAAAAGAAAGCAAGATACATACACACACACGTATATATATATATATATATATATATATATATATATATATATATATATATATATATATATATTAAAATAAAGAGAAAGAACAGTAAGATTTATAATCCGATGTTCTTATTAATTATTTTATTTTTTTAAAACAGTGCTCAATACAATTCTGCAGCGCATAAATATTATAAATTTACTAATTTAAAAATATGGATCCATCGCTAGACAGGAATTACCAGGTTTCAAAAACAGAAACTAAAAACTTCAAATTTAATTATAGAATTAAATCAAAATCCCTAGTACTATTTCATTTTCAAACGAAATTACTCGGGATTATAATTTAATTCTATAATTAAATTTTTTTTTGAAACATGGTAATTCCTGTGTAGCGATGGAACCATATTTTTAAATTAGTAAATTTATAATATATATATGTGTTTGTGTGTGTGTGTGTGTATGTGAGTGTTTGTGTGTGTGTGTGTGTGTGTGTGTGTGTGTGTGTATTAGTATTCGAAACAAAAGTAGGATAATGAATGGATTTTTCAGCGCGCCCACGTCGCTACCGAATGTGACACAAGGTTAACATTTAAAGTGGGTTTAAGGCCATTACCTAGGAAAAATTGATTGTTCAAGCCCCATCGACACTTATGTGCACGTCGAAGGATGATTCCAGCCTACTCCTGAAGGAGAGATATTGCTTGGGTGTTGCGGCTTGAACCTGATTTTAATTTCGAACTTTCACGGCGAAAGTGTCAGGTTAGTAAAGTGATGATAAAGAGATAAATTGGAAAAGCTATAAACGACGCGTTTATATATACACATATATATATATATATATATATATTATTTTAAGCAACAATATATATATGTATATAAAATTATATATAAGTAGCAATATGTATATATCTGCATAACAGGATGCGGCAGAAACACATCCCCACATATACTTCCCAGAAATGCCTTCCACATAATGGTAAGAAATTAACTAAATGAAGACACCATTGTCACAAATGTTTTAGCATTATGTGGGAGGTATTTCCGCTGCTCCGTGTATTATATGTATGCAACTATATACATATGTATATAATATATATTATATACATCTTACTTATTATAAAACGCAGATTGTGTGTGTGTGTCTGTAACGTTTCTATATTGGATCGGATTTCCTACATTTTTCAACCGATTTCAACAAAACTTCACAGGACTACATAAAATTACCTTGTGGTGGTTCTAACAGCGCCAAAGATGGGAGAAATATAATTGTTTTTGCACAAAACCAATTTGAAAACACGATTAAGAGACATCGTGAAAATGGAAGGGGGACAACTCACATCGGGTTCTTTGTGTGTGTGTATTCCTTTAAATATGGGATCAGATTTCCTATATTTTTCAGCCGATAAAACAAAACTTCACTTTTTTTTTTTTGGCAGGTAGTGTTTCTTATTCTCTTACACACTTTTTTCTTTATTTTTAATATTCACAATGCTTTAAAAATTCCATTTACAAGACAATTATTTATAATAAAATTCTATTCAATCGGGAGATTCATAACGATTGAAAACAATGTTTTTGTTTGAGTTTGGGTTTGACCAATTCGTAAAAAAAAAAAAAAAAAAAACCCAACTAATTCAGACATGCGTGTCCGTCAACCTTAAACAATAATCTTTGTCAATTTTATTTTTCAGTCTTTATACTTGATCTATCTCTTACTGTTATAAAAAAACTGATTAAGACATGCGTGTCCGTCAACCTTAAACAATAATCTAACGATCTCTACTGATTGTACGAATACAAACATCGGATAAATTCTTTATCTTTAGGGAAAGATAATGAAATCTAAACATACACAAGTCCTAACTAAAAATAATAACCGGAACGGGAAACTACTTTAAATACGCATGGTGTCCAATTTTTTACTGTATTCAATAAGTAAAAATCATAAATTGTAAAAGATTATTATTACAGAAAGGCTACTAAATGAATAAGATTTGTTAGATCATAATTAATAAACCCAAATAAAGTTAATATTTTTGTATTAGAAACAACGAGTGGAAAATATATTCAAATCAGAATTCTAATTATGAATCACCACAAGCAAAATATGCAATTTTTTTTTACTGTATTCAATAAGTAAAAATCATAAATTGTAAAACTAAAAGATTACAGAAAGGCTACCTACATTTTTCAACCGATTTCAACAAAACTTCATTTTTTTTGGCATGTAGTGTTTCTTATTGTCTTGCACACTTTTTTCTTTATTTTTACATTCAGAATGCTTTAAAAATTCCATTTACAAGACAATTGTTTATAATAAAATTCTATTCAATCGGTAGAGACTCATAACGATTGAAAACAATGATTTGTTTGAGTTTGGGTTTGACCAATTCGTAAAAAAAAAAAAAAAAAAAAAAACCTAACTAATTCAGACATGCGTGTCCGTCAACCTTAAACAATAATCTTTGTCAATTTTATTTTTCAGTCTTTATACTTGATCTATCTCTTACTGTTATATCCCCGGGCAACGCCGGGCTCTACTGCTAGTATGTATATAAGTATATAATATTATTCTGTACAAGTAACAATAGTTTTAAGTTATACTATTAAGTTATTAATTATATATTAATATATATATATATATATATATATATATATATATAAATGGACAAGGTCCGACAATTTATTTATTAAAGACATTTTATTATGTTTAATATCTATAAAATAACAACATTAAACATAATAAAATGTCTATATATATATATATATATATATATATATATATATATTATATTAATATTTTAATTATAATAATTTATCGTTATAATAAAAACATTTTACATCGCTACACAAAAGATTTCATATTTCAATACCATGATTGTATTTCGTCAGGCGATGGTAAATAACTTGTGATAAAAAAAAACGATATATATGGGAAATTTAAAAACAAATCCTTACCTCTTTTCGAAAGTTAGAGGGGGGCATAAGGCCAGAATTAAAAATCAGATCTAAAAGAAGAAAAATAAGGTCAGAAGGTGAAGGTGGCTAGGTTATTTTTCATGTCACGATAAGTTTGTTCGCAGACATGCCACTCAATCATTGTATTAAACATGTCCACGACAAATGTATTATGGATGTAGCCAAGTATATTGTTCCGATTTGTGGAAGTAGCCACAGAGATATTAGAAACAAAATTTTAAAAGAAATAATTTTTTATTCTTTTTTAAATATTTGGGAAGCTTCTTAAAGGGGCCAGTAAATAAAATTAAGAATGTGGAACTATTTACACACACACACACACACACACACACACACACACACACACACATATATAATTATTTATTTAAAAATATGATTCCAACACGCTACATAAGAGTTCTCATGTTTCAAAACAAGAGCCGAAAACTTCAATATAATTATTTGAATTATATTGAATTAAAGTAAGCTCTGTTCAGAATTAAATTGAATTAAAGTAAACTCTGTTCAGGGCTTACTTTAATTCAATTTAATTCAAATAATTATATTGAAGTTTTCGGCTCTTGTTTTGAAACATGAGAACTCTTATGTAGCATGTTGGAATCATATTTTTAAATAAATAATTATATTTATGCTCTACTTTTGTATCGAGCACTATTTTTTTTAAAAATAATAACAAAAATACTAAAGAACTCTGGATTATTTACCTAACGAGTTATTTCCTATTTTCTATATTTTTCACACACACACACACACACACACACACACACACACACACACACACACACACACACACATATATATATATATATATATATAAAAAAAGGCTTAAACACTTATATTCCATTGGAATCGTAAATACGATCCAATTCATCAGACCTACAAATTCAAAGAGAAAACAGAAAAAACAACTCCGGAAATAAAAAATAAAATTTAGAGAGAGTGTAAGTATGAGAGTGTGGGACGAATGTTAGAGCTAAAGAGAGGGGTAACAGACGAGAGAAGGTGGGGGATTAAAACTTAACAGAGAGAAGTTTTAGAGAGGTGAGTCAAAGACAGTTTAAGTGAGAGAAATATGAATGTTGTCGGATGTCTAATACATTAAAGATGTAACCGGAAAGGATACATTTTGTGGCGACATACACACACATTAGACGATCTAATCTTAAAGATCAGAAGAAGAGGGAGGGAAAGGAAAAGAAAAGAAAAAAAGGGTGGGGAGAGAGATGGAGAGGGGGGAACTGAAACTGAAGGGCATTTATTAAAAGGGCAATTAATTGTAATTAAGAAAATTTGACAAAATTAATATCAACTACAGGTTACAATCAAATATAAACGTATAAAAAATAAATATAACGGTTATCTAATCTAGCAAGGACCTATATCTCTATGTTCAAAAACACATGCGTATACACACATACACAATAACATATACACGTACATACATACATACATATAGGCGTGTACACACATACACACACATATACCCATGTACACATATACATACATACATATATATATATATTCATATATACATACATATATATATATATATATATATATATACACGTACATACACATACATATATGTATACATATACATGCATAAATACACACATACATATACACATACATCCATACACATCCACTCCTACAGATATACATTTACACACATATATACATCGGACATACACATAAACATATATACATAAAAACTTACATCTCCATACAATTACATACACCCATCTAATCAAATAAACAATGTATCCCTATATCTATCTGTCTAACTATATATGCATACATATATATATCATTTTTTGTTCGTGATCATATGTAGTCGCATGAACGTAAACATAAACTTAGTCTGATGAAGTCCTAATGGACGAAACGTGTCACACGAAAACCTTTTTTCACTTTGTCATACATCTATCAAAATATGTGTGTGTGGGGGGGCAACAATGGAAAATACCATGGATAAGTTAAATATATATGAAATAAAATACAGAGAGAATGAGGGAGAAGAAAAGAAAGAGAGAATCAAGCAAATGTACGAAGATTGTAGAAGAGAGGTAAATGAATAAAGATAGAGAAGCAATGAGTGAGAAAAGGAGAAATTGTATGAATGAAGAGACTTCAAAGAGTTAAAAATAATGAAAGCAAAAAGTGACTGTGAGAGAACAAAAAACAAAAAAAAAACACGAGAAAATGGTTAAAAGTAAGGAACGAAATAGAATGATGAAAAAGATGGAAAAAGACAAAAAGAAAAATATTGAGCGATAGATTGAGTGAAAGAGATAGATAGATAGATAGATAGATAGATAGATAGAGAGAGAGAGAGAGAGAGAGAGAGAGAAAAGTTTGGCATCTTTGACTTTATCCTTTAGCGATACTGGATATTTATTTAAGTGGGGCTTGTTGTATAAGGGTCCCAGGTATAGGTTCCCATGTAAATAAATGGCGTTGATAGCGCTGCAGTTACACTATTGCTTACAAAAACATGTCGATGATAGCCGGCCACCGCCACGCCCTCCTGACACATCCACATGGAGTAAATGTCACAAACCAAAACAACCGTGGGAGAGTCAGAATCGATGGGACAGCGCTAATAATAATGACCTGAGCATGGTTTCTCCCAACGGCTAATTTGCCTTAGGAAGAACTTTTCATCCCCTAAACGCGACAATTATTCTCATATATATATATATATATATATATATATATATATATATATATATATATATATATATATATATGGTGTTTCCGGTGATTACTGTTTACTTCGAAAACTATTGGGCAATTGTCGTAACTATTAAATTCAACTTACTTCATGAAACTAAAATACATGTCAACAATTTAAGAATAAAAGGCGAATTTTTTTAAGAGAATTTGACAAGAGAATAATATCACTAACTAGAAAGAAGGATATAAAGGAGAAAAGAATGAGAGGAGATATAGTGAGAGAGAGAGAGAGAGAGAGAGAGAGTGAGAGTGAGGGGGTATTTTTTGTACCCAAAATTAAATGAAATGTGACACAAGGTCAAGTTTAAAGTGAGAGTCCCACGCGTACATGTGACGAGGTAGAAATTGCTGAAACTCCGCGTCAAGGATTAGCTCTAGGCCTTACACGAAATAACGGTATTGCCTCTTCAGGCGAAAAGGATTAACGCCAGGCCTTACCCGAAATAGCGGTATTGCCTCTACAGGCGTCAAGGATTAACAACAGGCCTTACCGAAATAGCGGTATTACCTCCTCAGATAGATAGATAGATAGATAGATAGATAGATAGATAAAGTTGGAGGAAGCGGGTGGAGATAATCGGGAGAGATCGAGATCCTTAATAAACCAAACAGTAAATCCAGTCTCCTATACACATAAGGTTTTATTCCCAGGGTGTGTCGTATTTCTTGTACCAATTAAAATGCCTGTAGATAATGATATAACTAATTTCGTTCAGGCAGACGACATCTGTAGAAAAAAATATGGTATCGCTTTCCGCGCCGAATTTGAAAAAAAAGATTGCATTGCATTGACTGTTATTCTTATGTGAGACATGTTGAATTCGTTGTTTATAGAGAAGATATGGCTTCTCTGCGATTCACTAAAAAGCATTTACTTGAAGCCGCTGAATTCATCTTCCATCGATAATTGTCGCTGTTTTATATATATATATATATATATATATATATATATATATATATATATATATATATATATATATATATATGTATGTATATATATATATATATATATATATATATATATATATATATATATATATATTGGGGAGTAAAAAGAAATAAGATGGCGATTGATCTTGCATTTAAAGCTTTGAAGATCGTAGGTAAGAGGGAAGCAAGAACCCGGAAGAGAGTTCCACAGGTGAGAAGTGCGAGAAAGGATAGATTAGCATAGACCTTTCGTTTCCATTTATTTCAACAGTAAAAAAAACAATGAGATCTAATTGTCAGTCTAGTTGTGACCTTAAATATATGTTGTCGAGGTTCCAAACAGGCTTATTAGAACAATTACCACGAAAACATTTATAGAAAAGACAGAGGGCAGCCACGTCACTGCGGTGGAAATGTCGAGATGCCAGGCCAGGACCGATAATATTACAGACTCATAAATGTGCAAAATGGATTCTGGCGTAAAACATTGTTTGGTACGACACAGTGAACCAACCATCTTAGCGGCAGATTTAATATAATCTTTCCACCTCATGTCAGTGCTGTAAATATTGCAATTATCGTCTATAAATGCGGACACGTTTTATTCGCATCATTAAAATCAATCGGGCATCTCTTAATTGTGTGCATACTTATTAACTTAAACTACAGACATGCATTAAACTAACACGCGGAGATCAGTTACGACTAAATAGTAAGTACGATTCTCACTGGCTGACCCATATTTTCGGCCATGTGCCGCATATCTAAGCTCCGCTTACAAAATCAACATTAAATCAACCCGCGGACCAGATCTGATTCTTGAAAGAAACCTTAGCAAATAATGGAATACTCTGCTTGTCAAACGAATGAACGATTTCTCATGATACCAGATATTTACATTGTTCGGACTGTTGCACCCATCTTTATTGCTATATTTACGACGCTTCGGTCATTGTACGCTCCGGTCTTCGTCAGGTGATATTTGTTGGAATTTCGAACCGAAACCTTTATTTAGTTTACGGAAGTAGATTGTTCTAATTCCACATGCCATGCCTTTGGATATCACAGTTTTATTTAATTCCCCTTAGTAACTCAACTCTCTAAGTATTTTTGTTCTCTCCAGGGATTGAATTCACAACTCTTTGGGTCAAGTCACTTTTGGTTCAATCAACCAACCAACACTTTTACCCACTGAGTCATTTAAATATGGCAATAAAGATGAGGATTTATTTACCACCATCGAACTCGAACATAGTTAGACTTTTTATGTTGGAATCATTATTTGTCTTCATTAAAATAAAAAACAATTAACATTCCTAATTGGAATCGTCGGTTAAGCGCAAATGATTTTAATCATGAATTATTCATTGACTTGTGACAAAATATAATCCTTATTATTAATTTGGCAGGCCTAGTAACTGAGGGTAATGGGTAGCGGCTTCGATTGAGGAATCGGAGAGCCGAGTTCGAATTCCAATCAAATCAATTACATTCACTTATGTGCTAATATCCTTGGGAAAGATATGAATCCTCTTCTTCTTACCCACCACCAGCTATGGGTAAATAGTAGTACAGACCGGGTTCTATAGCCTTGGATGGCAATTGGTCTACCACAGAAAGAAATGGCAACCTACTGCGGGAGTCAGTCATGTATCTTTCTATACGTGTATCACGCATGGCACATAACTGACTGAGTAACTGACTCAATGTAATCTTGTTCCAATTCACGTCAGTGGAAAACGTGGAGTTTAAACATCAGTTATTCTGATGCAAGGCAAAATAGTTAACAACAAAAATATTAAACTTTATTTATTTGCAGGATTGTAGAAATGTGGGAATCGGTCGCAAAGCAATATTTATAAAGAAATAACGATGAAAACAAACATTTTTCATTTATAAATTTATAAAAATGTCTGTGGACGACAGAACAAGAAAATTTAAATAATGATGAGTAATTGTGATTATGTGTTTTTCTGGCATTTCTCTCATTTTCACTAACGACAAATTCACAAAAATAGATGAAGTGCAGCTGGATTTATACATTAGATGTTTTTTTTAATTTATAATTGTAGTTGTGTGTTTATTTGAGTTTTCTTGTTTTATAGTTCACATAAAATGGTAAATAATAAAATATTGCTTTGGGGTGGGTTCATATATTTTTATAATCATGTAAATAGAAAATTATTCTTGTATCCCTTGTTTCCTGTTTAGGATTTGGTTTCCGGTTCACTCTAAATTCATTTCCATCTCTTTCACCTTCGGTGATCCTTTGCATCTTGGTGGCATTATCTCCTTACTTGGGGGTGGTGCCTCTTACTTTGTAACCCCCTACCTCGAGTGACTCTTGGGCCTTGGGTGAATTATTAAAATACAACTTTAAATGCCGAATCTAGATGCGCCGTCAGTGTTGTTGCTCCCATGTCACTAGAAGTTTCGGGTCTAAATAAACAACAGACTTCTTCGATGGGCGACCCGACCGAATATGATCAGTATTCGGCCCGCACCTAGAACAAAATCTGCCACTAGCTTTAGGATGTGAATTATATAAGGTGCCCCAGTAGACAACAACCAATCAAGACTTCACTTGGGCTATTCGAAGTTATAGATTAGGTATGCATGGTTGTATTGATCTTCCTATATACGGCCAAGATAGGGTGTTTTTTTGGAAGAATAGAAGAAAACCTCCCCTTTTAACTTCTATAAAATAACTTATATATCATTGTAAATAAAAAAAAATCTTGATGGATTTAAATGTATGGGATTATGCTACTTTGTTTGCCAGGAGACTTTTCCTAAGGTGGCCCTTTTTATCTAGGTGGCCCATTTTCCTAAGGAATCCTTTTTCTTGAGGTGGCCATTTTTCCTATGATGGCGTTGTATAAAGCAGTATAAATGGAAAGGGCATAACCCCACTTCTCTCTCTCTCTCTCTCTCTCTCTTTCTCTCTCGTTCTTTAATTGCAGGATGTCGTAGAGACAATAGGTATTACTTTTCTTCTTTGTGGTAGGTACCATTATTAGTCCCTACAACCTATCATATATATACAGGGTGCGGCAGAAATAACTCACGGAAATACCCCCTAGACATACCTCCAACATCAGGGGGTTCTCAACTGGGGTGAAATTCACCCTCGGTGTGGGGGGTGAATTTTGGATTATCAGGGGTGAATTGTGAGCACAGTAAGTTTGTCGGGGTGTTGAGAGCGATTATAGGATTTAGTCGATCTGGTCTGTCACCTAGAAAAAGGGGGTGGGGGTGGATGGCATTCTGGCAAATGGTAAAAGGGGTGCATGGGGCAAGCAAGATTGAGAATCCCTGTCCTACATAGTAAGACATTAGTGTCAATGATGTCTTCATCTAGCTAATATGTTATCATTATGTGAGAGGTATCTCTGGGAGATATATGGGAAAGGTATTTCTGCTGCACCCTATATATATATAATCGACTCTCCCGTCGAATTCGACGTATGAGGGTCAAGCAGATCAGTTCCCAGGAAACCGACAGCCCGACAACAGCACATGAGATTTGATTATCGTGGTGAAGGTTTCGTGCAGGACAATCCACACTTTTTGAAGGGCCGAATACAGAGACCTGGTGCATATATATATATATATATATATATATATATATATATATATATATATATATATATATATATATATTGTTGTGGAGTCCACCCCTTTTTCATACAAGTGAACTCGACCAGTGTGTACTTGTACTGCTGCCAGTGAATACCCGGGAGTAGGGAGATACACTGATACAGTGAGAGTGTGATGTAACCGCTTTGTAGGAGTCACAGTTGCGAGCACGTAGACTCAGAAGGAAGTCATACTTCGATACTGAATTTCCCAGACTGTATATATATATATGTTTATTGCTACTAACCGCATTTCTGGATCTACTAACCGTATTACCAATTGTGTTATTACGTCAATACATTTATTTGCTATATTTCAATCCTGCGTTTGTCATTCATTTTGAAACCGGATTTCATCTCGGAATACACAACATATATATATATTAGATGCAATGGCTAAATTGTTGTCTAGTTTACGCAAAAATGAAAATAGCACTGACATTTCATTTTAACAGATATGTTTACCAAAATTACACAAAAATATCTAGAAATACTAAAGAGTAAATTTGTTCAGTAAAATCATCAATGGCATCTAGATGACTTCGGAATCTCCTGTAACTCTTCTGGACGTTTTTCTTGTTTAAGTTGGTGAATGCTAACATAATCCTTACATTCAGTTCATTTTTGTGCAACAAGGATCTTTCTAGTTCTGCGCACCACACATAATAATCAATGGGGATGCAGTCTGGAGATTTAGGTAGCCAGATATAAGTAGTGATAAATTATTTAACCAAACACGCTTGACTAAAAAATATGCTGCCTATATATATATATATATATATATATATATATATTATCGCTAATCGATAGCACAACTCGGAGTTTCATGCACAACGCAATCTTCAGGTGCTGGGTAGAGACTGACACTTACATCTTATTGATATTTAATAGCTCTGTTATATTACATCGAGTAATATTTTATTTACACTAGCACCCAATATGCGATATCTTATATATATATATATATATATATATATATATATATATATATATATATATATATATATATATATCCAGCACACGAAAATATCCCTATACGTACCTCCAACAAAAATAACGACTTCGCTACAAACGGTTAATTCTCACATTTTAAGCTATTTTATAACATTTTTCTGGTCAACTGTCCATTTATTAATATGTGATGCGGTCCGCAGAAAGGAAAAACTTGCTGATCTTTATTTGAAAAAGTTACTTGGTTTGTCATTGTTAAAGCTTTGGATGAAATAAAATCTAAACGGACCAGAAGTAATGTTTAAAATTTTGCACTTTTGAGTTAATCAATGTTGTGAATCCTCAAAATCGTGATCCTGAGTTTATTACTTAGTGGCTTCGGCCATAATGAGACTGTACATCAGCGTCTCAGTTATCTGATCTTTGTTGATTTAACTAATCTGTCTTGTACTTTCAAAAACATAGCCACTCGTAAAACAAGCCGCCATTACGTCTTTTTTTCTTATCAACGGCAACCATGTTTTGTCTTCTTGTCGAGTGTGAACAAAATGATGACGAAATGGACGAGGGTTGCTGATTGGAGATGCCGGGAAGAGAGATTTAGTTAAAGGGGTGATGGAAGGAAAATCACTCGTAGTTTGTTAGTGAGCTTTTTTCGCTTCGGGGAAACAGCTTTTGCTAAGTTGAAACAACAATTGACGCAAGCGCCCTTCTCCCAGGTGAAGTCGTCTGTTTGTTTATTTAAGGCAATCAGCAAAACGAGCAGAGGCGTATCTGGCAGAGCACACGGCATCATTCCTCCCTCTCTTGCCGCCTCTCTTATGCTACACTACCACCACTATCGGGCGTTACCTTTCGACAGGAGTTCATCTAGCGAATTCAGGGCATAAGCCAGACTTACAAAAGACCAGACGATCGCGACAAGTGTTTCAGCAGTGATCTCCTCTTGTACCTTGGCAGACATGTCAACGTTTAACAATATTTTGGCGATGTGATTTTTGTTTTTTAAACTACGTATAGACACGTGTATACAGAAAGGAATGGACTGTATTGGATTAGGAAAATTCTGAAAAGAATCATTTGAAAAAAAAACTTTCTTTACTGAAAAATTAGTCCTGGGTATGACGATAAACTGCATTCGGCAGCAAGGCTTCTTATCTAGAGATTGGAAGTTTTGAGGAGCATGGAACTACCTATTAATTACTGTTGTTCTCAGGTTCGCCTTAGCCCGGAGTGGTAGCTCCTGTTTGGGTTCCAACTGGGGGCAAATAGTGACCCTCCCGCCAAAAACAAAAAAAAAAAAACAAACACTATGAAAGTAAAATGAATAACAATGCATTTTATCTGTTTTTGAAAACATACAATTGCGTTCAAAATATATTTAGTTGAAGCCATAAAATTGTTCAAAATATTTAGATTTCAGCATTACCTATCAGTCAGTTATGTACCATGCGTGTTACACGCTTAGCCGGTCATGTATCGAAAGATACATGACTGACGAGGCAGATTTTTTCCCGCAGTAGGTTGCCATTACTTTCTGCAGCAGACCAGTTGCCATCCAAGGCTATAGAACCCGGCCTCTTATTTACCCATAGCTAGGGGGTGAAGAAGAGAATTCATACCTTTTTTCAAGGGTATTAGCACATAAGTGAATGTAATGGTTTCAACTAGAATTCGAACTCGGTTCTTCGATTCCTCAATCCGAGCTGCTATCCATTACTCCATAGAGGTTGATATACTGCGAAACGAAATCGATCAACCATCATGAAATCATTTTCATGACATTAATCTGTATAATACCCTACAATTTTTAAATCAAAATTTATTTTAAAATATAACTTCAACAAAACTAAAATATAAAACATGACTGCTTCTAGTAATTATTTTCACACAAACATGTGCATGCACAAAAGCTAAGTATCATCTATCATGTTTTCAATTGTGAAAGCAGAACAACATGCATCATATATTGATTACTTCAAAGCTCCCAAGAAAATTAAATTACTGCAAAAGTGACCCATAAGGTGTTGATATGCCGTTAAACAAACAAATCAATCAATTACTGAAAGCGTAGTTAACTAAATTATCTACAGTCTTCATCTTTTATTGTAAGAGGCAAATGGAAACTTGATATTTGACTATACATTTAATGCTGATTTTTAAGAAAATCGTTTAGAGGCAAAAAATTTAAATTTCTTCCAAAAAGCACTCAATCAAGGAATCTTGACTTTTCCCATAAAAATCATATGCAGATAATTCTAGGAAAATATCTTTTATGGAACACTTCTTAATATTTACATTATCTTTATCCATCATGTTTCCGTAAAACGTAGTCGACCATGACTCTCGACAGCTTCATTTTCTCCTGAGAAAGAGTATTTCTCTCTTGGCTTTGAATTAAAAATTGTTCTTTTAGACTCGTTTCCAACCAAGAATAAAAATTTCAGTCTGTTGAGCTAACGATAACTTTTTCGTTTTCATACTTTTCCCAAGGGTATTAGTGCAATGTGAATTCGACTTTCTGATTATGTTTTCTTTACACTTAGACGTTAATCCATTCTAAACATGGCCAATAGAAAGGAAACAAATTCTTGTCATTCAGTGTATGCGAAAACGTTAAAAAACTAAAAATAAGTTAAAATAAACATCATACTATGCATGTATTTAAAACGTTTTAATTTATTCTATATATATGGAGACTTTTAACGACCTTGTATTGTTAGAAAAACTATCCGATATATATATATATATATATATATATATATATATATATATATATATAAAATATGATTTTAAGGTATGCTATATTTAAGGGTTTAAATGCTCAATACATATAGAGAGCGCATGTAAATATAAAATTGGACATGGAAGTCAACATCCAACGGCGGCAGTCTGTTTCATGCTTATACGCAATCATCATATATATATATATATATATATATATATATATATATATATATATATATATATATGTCATTGATGCATCTTGGGTAGTCTATTGTATTGTTCTCACAGTTATTTTGATGGGCCGTAATTGTTATGTTTCGAATTATTCTACAGGCTGTTGGGTGGATATAATTTTGGACCCGGATGCAGTTTTTTTTAACATTTACAAATTTATTATTGATTATTTTATTGTTGGTTGTTATTCTGAAAAAAACTTGAACCAATGATAAGTGCATATAAATAAAATCGCGAAATATAAGCAGTCAATTGCTGATGCCCCCTGACCAGAGGTCGGGCGGCTCCGTCTATGAAACTCTGGAGTCAGGATGCTTAAGGTAATATCATTCAGCTAAGTGACAAACCTTTTACTTATATATATATATATATATATATATATATATATATATATATATATATATATATATAATATATATATATATAATTTAAAAAATTATAACATAAATATGTTATAAGATCACGACAGTAATAGGAGCTAATATCTAAGTATATGATTGGTGTATACGGAATAAATTCCAATAACCAAAAATTACTATTCTTAAATTCTTAAAAAAATAATACAAAGTTTAAAATTATAACAAATATAATTATTTATGTTATAATTTTTAAATAAATAATTATATCTTCTACTCTGTATTGAGCACATTTTTAAGAATAGTTTGTTTGTTATTGGAATTTTTTCCGTATACACCAATCATATACTTGATATATATTCATATCTATCTATCTATCTATCTATATATATATATATATATATATATATATATATATATATATATATATATACTCTTCCTATCCTAAACAAATTTGACGCGAGCAAATGTAGACAAGAATAATTACAAGCCTGTCTGCACGAAACTAACGTAATGTTACGACACCAATTGCCTTTAACAACTCAGAAAATAGACCCAGCGAACCGACTTTAAATTCTGATGCCACTTTCACATGAATACATTTTGGAAAGAAACGAAACCAACAGTTTCTGTGTCTTTAACAATTTTGACACGCCATGGTGATAGTTTCGGGGAGAGAAAAAAAACTGGCGCTGGACAAATTCGTTTCATCTTAACCCAATACAATGACGAATATCCAGACTCGTTGCTAAGTATGTATGTGTGTTGGAGAGTGACTTGTACACCAGGAAAATCATAGCCGCATGTGAAAATGATGTGAAGTAATTTTAGCGTAAGTTCTTACTTGCGGGTCTTTTGACTTAAAGGCCGCCCCACCCAACTGAAATCCCTCTGCTTGCGATTATTCATTCTTGAGATTAAGACAGCTGGTTTGGGAACGACTGAATGGTCATCTTTGTCCCATAAAGAAAGAGGAAATATTTCGGACAACGCAGAAATAGTCTTGTTTTTCACCTTGAAGCAAGAAATTTTAAGGAAAATAGAAACGAAAAGAATACATAATTAAAATCAGAAATAGACAATTAACATTTCTACGACACATAATGAGGAAAGACGGCTTGAAAAATTTGATACACCTAGGACATATTGAAACAGTATGTAGCCTGCCTAACAAAAGTGATCAAATAAATAGCTGAACAGGGATTAATTAGGATAGTGAAAAAAACTGATATTACTAAGAGAGGGATAAAACAGGAGTTTGTGGAAAGCCTTGAAACCTCCTGATGCAGTACATTAAAAGATGAAGAAATGCCTTGGTTACGTCTCCATGAAATCAGTCGTCATTACATGTAATAAATATTATTCAGGGAATATGGATTAAAAGTGTTTTTTTCAACGATTATTTGCTTAATATAAAAGAATTAACGAAAATAAAAGCCGACGTGTAACAAGGGAGATCATTCCATACCTAACGTGTTACTCTTTTGGCTTAATGATTTCATTTTGCAGTTTTAATTAACTGAAGATTTTAAACATATCCTTCATTGAAAGAATTGAATTCTTTTTGTTGAGTATAGTATTTGAAAATCTATATTAATTAAAATATTCCTACTTCTTGAAGGACACATAATATTTTGACTCATAACAGATTATAGAAGCCAATAAAAGTCAACATAGTAATATTATTTTTAATTTTTTTAAAATTACATAAGATTTACATTTTTTTAATAGTATTTTTCCATCTTAATTTTAGTTGTTTTTTTTTTTTATCGTACTCACGCAACACGCTCCTTCCCAGTCTTTTAAACAGGGGTAGAGGTTTATACAGACAAACCTCTCTTCAACGGACTAATAGGGGAAAGGGTGGTCCGTTAAAGCCGTTTGTCCGTAGATGAGAATAGATTATTTTTTACTTATGAAACCATTATAGTAACTAGCAGTAGTTATGATCTCAATGTAGATACTATAATCATGTATATATGGCATTAAATAAATTTATACTTCATATAGATATATTAATCAAAATAACAAAAATCATATATTTCTCACAGCTTCTTACTCACGCACGCGCTAATGTATCGTACTTTCCGTCTTTGTTCACAATTGAAAGGCCAACTACCGCCGCCAAACGGTCACATTGAGAACTAATACGACTCGTTCCATTAAACCCGCAAATTTTGAAATACATCGCTTTTTGGAAAAAAAATTTTCCTGCAGATTTTTAAAAATTTTGCCTGCATATTTTGTCCGTTGCATCCGAAATCCGTTGATTTGGGGTGCGTCGATGAGAAGTTTGTTTGTACATTGATTTTTCTTAAGGATTGGGTTTCCGGTTCCTTCTAAAATCTTTTTATTCTTTTTCAGTTCCTTGCGTCTTAGTGGCATTATCGCCTTGCATGGGGTGAATTGATTAAAAATAAAATTTACAGTCGTCAGCAAACAGCATGAACTGAAAATAAGCAATACGCCCCATGCCGAGATTCGAACTAGCAAACCCTTTTTCTGCTGAAAACCCTTTTTCGTTCGATAGCTGTTCAACCAAATGATCTATAAAAGCCAATATCTGAACGCGCTTAAATCCAACTGTTCAACTTTTACTCCCTTTTACTCCGAATGCTCAGTGCAGTCATCTTTGTTTATGCACACACACACACACGTAGTATTAGTAGAAATATTATCTGGAATTTTATTATTAGATGAAGTATTGTCAGTTATTATTAATTTTAGACATTTAACGATACCGTTCCCACTCATTCTCTTTCACCATAGTATCTTTGTATGGGTTTTACCAACAGCTAATGACCAACAGATTTTTCCCTTGCTGTTATCAAGATCCAGAATAAACAGACAACTATCAGCAGGGTTAACGATCAAAGTGTTAGAGATTAGGGTAGGGGCTAAGAAGCCTATCTGAATCTTCATCGCAAGCTTAGGCTCATCATCTACCGAAGATAGACAACTGAAAAGAATACAGTGATTATGAAATCATTACGAGTTAAACTTCCTGTTTGGCTTCAATTCAACTTTGATCGCAACAGTCATTCTGGGTTAAAGTTCAGAACATCTTTACTTTTCTATCTTTGCCTATTCAATTTCGTTTTTGTTGCAATCACTAAAGGCATCTTTTACTTTTTCAGCCATTATTTATCATTTTCTTGTCCTTCCCGTTTCTATCCAATTGTTTTGTATCTTTCTTTCTTTCTTTCTTTCTTTCTTTCTTTGCTAGGCTTACGACCTCATCACATTAAAACACCGGTTCTCATAGGATCACCAAAGTTAAGCAACGTCGAGCCGGGTCAGTACTGAGAGAGGTGACTGCTTGGGAATACCAGATGCTGTAAGCTATGATGCGTGGGTGGTGTAAAGATAACGGCTTGCAATTGGAATTCGGCTCTCTGATTTCCAATTCAAGTAGGGATCGTTATACTTACTCACCCTTGGGAAAGGCATGAATCCACTTCCATGGCTTTCGGTTAATTAGTAGGGCTTCTATCAGTAAATCAATATTATCTCCAAAAACTTCTTACAATCTAAAAATATTTTATGGCATTAAATAACCTGCCAATAAAAAAAAAAAAAGAAAGAAGGTTGCTGAAGGTTTATAATACCCAGAAATTCATACACAGATGTCCTCAAGGATCCATGGCACATTGAATAAAGATCCAGTGACAGGACCCAAAGAGTGTGAGTTCAATACCCGGTTAAGGCAGTGGAGAACTTGCAGAGGGGAATTAACAATCAGATAACTGATAACTGACATCCATTAAACATGGCACGTGGAATTAGAACAATGAGCGAAATAAGGGGTTCAGTTCGACATTCCAACCACCTGAAGAAAGCCGGAGCGTACAACGGCCGAAACGTTGTAATAAATATGGCGACAAAGAGTCCAAATAATGTAAATAGTGTACATCTCAGAAATATAGACAAACCTGCAAAAGGTTGATAAGTCATAAAAACTGATCAGGTTGGCAATTTTTAAATACCAATAACTTAGAAAAAAGTAAATAAATAATCTCATAAATATCTAAACGTCATTTTTCTTGTTTTGTTCTTTTCAAGAACAAGCAGTAAAATAATAAACCAAAAAAAGTAATGTTGAAAAGCACAGAAAAATGGTTTGATATTAGTTACAAAATCAATTAATATTAGATAAACTGATAATAATAATAATAATAATAATAATAATTTAAAAATACTGTATCCACACTGCTTATGTGTTTGTTCTTTCTTAACTTGTTCCCGTTTCTACTTCTATTTAAACCAAAGAAGTGACAACCAAAATTTCCACATATGAATGATAAATAAAAAGACTAAAAAAAAAAAAAAAACTTTTTATTGTTTAAAATAAAAACAATATATTTTCACATAAAAATTACAATTTTTGGAAACAATGAGTAAGTTTGGATGAGTGCTTGGCCGGTGTGTTTTTGTATGTGTGTGTAATACATATGTGTGCGTGCACGTGTGTGTGTGTGTGTGTGCACGCGCGCACGTGTGTGTGAAATTTCAGCTGCCCGAAGGAAAGATATTATCCATGGTGGGGAACGAAGGCTCGGGTGTAGACTTTCTAGAAAGAAAGGAAATCGTATTGTCTTTTATAATCCTTAAACAGTGCCACCTAACTGCTTCTTGGCATCCTAAGTGGGGGTAATTCCGAGAAACTCAAAGATCTGTCAAAACTATCACAAGTAGATACTATTTCTGAGACGAACATCTACTGATATCGAAGGTGGATCTCGATTTTTTTATGGCTTGATTTGTCCATTTTCCTTTTTGGAATCAAGAATTTTCATAATAAAAAGTGTGCTTGTGTGTGTATCTCTACGTGTGTGTGTGTGTGTGTGTGTGTGTGCTTTTGCATTTGTATGTAGATGCCTATATATATATGTGTGTTTTTATGGGTGTGTATAATGGTCGGCTACTCGTTTTCGACCGTGCTCGTCTGCCAATGTGCCTACTTTTCACTCTTATTGACGTCTGCTCAGACCCACTTGTGTTTCTTCAACATGCACAGTGTGAACCTGTGGTTTATACTACATCTATGCTGAGTGGACTTTCGAGAGTGCATCACAGATTAATCAAGGAGAGTACAATCAAACCCTCGGTCAGGGTGGCTTGTGACGTTGTGCCAACACAACGATTGACAAGTTCCAAACAGTTACGCTGTCTACTTAATTTCACTTCGAAGTTTATAGTTTCCAGGCACTTGGGATAATCTCCGCAATAAGTGGAAGCTATGTAGTAATGTAATGCAATCCATCTTGAACGTTCAACAAGAGGCCAGGTTAGGTGGCGTTCATTGTTGAGGGTACAATGAATTGAATTGTTGAATTACAATACAAACTGAAACATGTTACATAGAGAAGAAATTGTCATAACCATAACTGCTACGAGAGCTAACATGAAGTGGAATTGCTCAGTAAGGTATAGCGACAATCTCATGGGTCACGGGAAATTTGTTTTCATGAAGAAATTGTAATAGGTGAGTGTTGAGCTTTAAAAAGAAACAATAACAATAAATCTCCCTGTATCTGAATTAACACACGAAGGCGGATCAACAAATCCATAACCTAAAACGCAGTAATAAAATGAATGTTGAGCTGAAATGTTCACTGTATAATGTTTGATCTGTGTGATTAATATTAACTCCAGAAGTGCTTTGACAAGAAAGGAACTTAAGTTAAAAATAAATATTTGTTGCTTAAATAAATACTTTTTTTCATTATTAGGCTTAAGACTTATTGATATACCTACATATAATAATAATAATAATAATAATAATAATAATAATAATAATAATAAATTTATATTTTTTTACAATGATGCTCACTCTGTACAAAGCCCAAGAGCCACTCGAGGTCATAGAATAAGAGGCACCACCCCAGACAAGACGACAACGCCACCAAGACATCACCGGAATTGAAAGCGAAGGAAAGGAACTGGAAACCCAGCCCTAAACAGGGAACAAGGCATTAACCTTTACTCATGTTCAAAAGACCGGAGAGGCGTTTCAACTGGACAGTAGGTGAACCATTCTACCGCTTTTATATATAGATGAATGTGTATATGGTTGTATATTTGGGCAGCAAATCCTCTTTTATACATGTTTCGATGAAAATGACTGACCAGGTTTTTATTGCATTTTTCCTGTATTTGAACAAAGAATTTCACATCATTCACAAAAGCACAAACAAAATCCATGAAATTAGGTGAAAGCGCTCAGAACGAACAAAAATCATTTGAACAATTTTTACATTCACTAAGACCCCAAAAGAAATATCTTGTTCACATACAAGAAAAATAGAATAAAGTTAACAGAAGTACGTTGTCAGTCATTCTTAACGAAAAAATGTAAATTTAAGCAACAATCCTTTTTTTTAATAAATGTTTCAATGAATGTTACGGAGAAGGAATTTATTTTTTTTTTATAAAAGTTTTTTATTCAATTTTTTGTAGTGACCTTATATTTCTTTTATGTGATGAGAAGCAATAGTGTGTAGAAAAGATTAATCCCTACGGACACTTTCTACACACTCTTAGTCATCATAAAAGAAAATATGCAAGAACATCAGAAAAAAAAAAAAAAAAAAACTGAATAAAAAACTTACAAAATCTTCCTTGTCCATAATATTCAAGGAAACCTTCACATTTACAGGGTGGTCCGAAATTCTTGTCATCCTAACCCTCTCTTCCAAACTGTAGGAGCTCGTGTCAGCCATCTGAAATAGAAAATTATATCATATAGGGGTGACAAGACTTCAGGACTACCCTGTATACGAATATTTCTTTCTGAAATTTTCTTGTGTATGTGCAAGCAGACAAATGGGTATGATATGTATACATTCACCATGATGCCATTCAGCTTGTCATCGGGTAAGACAAGTTAAAAAACTTATTGGATTCTATTTCCTGACGATCTGTCTGTCAGGAAGCATCTCGCCGTTGCACTAAAAGAGTTCGGGTCAGGAGGCCTCACAGACGATATGCTGATAGAATTAGGATATTTTCTGCACTCATGCGCGTGAGGACCTGCTATAAGAATAAACAGTGCCCCATCCCATCGCTGTGGGAAGATGCGTAAATTGTCTGCAATTTTCTGGACACACCCATATGCAAATGTGTGTGGGTCTTAGCTGTTAAAACGACTTTGCTTTACATTTGTTTTTGTTAAAAAAGAAATAAATAAACGTTTCTTACTAAGCTTAGTTTGGTACAAGGCCATGTGTAATGAAATGGGGGGCGTGGCATTAAATGATAACAAGAGATTTAATTCATCATTATTTAACAATTTATTGCAATATTTTTTGTCAGTTACTCTCAGCCAGTTTTTAGTATGGGAGCGGATCCGGACGCCTCTCGTCCGATACGCGGACCATACATTCTCCGTCAGAGGTGTGTGAGAGACCATCCAGACTGCCAGGGATGGTTGATTTTTTTAAACATATCAGATCATTGTTAAATTTCGTGTCTGATTTTCATTGTTAATATAAAATGACTGCAACTTGACATTGGCGTTTGTTTTGGTGTCAATTTCTGGTGTGTTTTAGATTGAAAATTTTCATTGTTCACTTGCGAGACAAACTTTGTTGAATGTTGACGTTTTGTCCACAAATGAAGGCCTTAAAGATGGAAGATGAAAAATTTCGCCCTATTATGCTCTATGAGTTTCCGACAGGAAGAAGCTTCGGAACTGTGACAAACAACTAAACATTCATAAGGTTTATTTGCATTTTGCCCAGCACTTCGGACGGTCAAAAAATATTTTGATAGATTCCAACCTAATTTTAACCTAAACGATAAATCACGTTCCTTCAAAACGAGCCTTGCAGAAGCTAAAAAATGGAACAACCTCCAGAACCCACTATAGTCTCTTGACTTGGCTTTTTCGGATTTTCATTTGTTCCAAACAAATCAATTAAAATCACGAAAAAAATCGCTCTGTACAGTTCTTCCAACAAAAAAACAAACAAACAAAAAACACAAAGTTTCTACAAAAATGGCATCCACAAGTATGTAGAAAGATGGGAGACGGTTGTTACAATGATGGAAACTATGTACTTGATTAAAAAATGCAAAATTTGTTTTTAATTTTCTAATCAGGCACGAAATTTTGCAATGATTTAATAAATATGTCCAACACATTTCCAAATACCTTTCTATATGTGCCGGAAAAATGAATGAAACATATCTGGAAATTCAAAGAATTTAAGACTATTACATCTTGGTGTAAAAGAAGCACATGGAATGGAACTCAGCAGAGAAATCTAAACTAATGGTGAATAATACAAACAACATCAGTACCAGCGTCACCATGGACGTTGAACCACTGGAGGAAGGGT